ACAGTCACATGTCCCTCCCATTACAGTCACATGTCTCACCAGAGTCATTTATAAATCATATGTTCCACTCATAGCATACATACTTTTTTTTATTTCTTACATAAATATATAATTATTTTTGTCATTCATACCTACATTTATTTTGCATATAATTTATTTATCCATAAGTTAAACTTTTCTTATATTAAACTTTAAAAATATATTCTGTAATATTTTTGTTCTTATTATATTTGTTTTTACCTCAAGCTTATTTACTTTTGAAGTATAGGCACTGTTAACATCTATGTTATCTTATCTATGATGTATGTGATCAACTTGATATAGGATTGTTTTAACAATCCATACAACAACACTTTATTCAGAAAAGATAATTGTATAGTCTGTTTAAAAAATTTGTAGGGTTATTTTTATTGACCTTCATGTTCTGCCAGCCGATCTCGGACCAATTTCATTCCAAGTTAGATACATGTGAATGTATGCCTGTGCTCACATTTCAGTTAATTCTATATGGCTGTCTGGTGGACATTTTAGTGTTGATTGCACTAAATTCAACATGTGTTGTACAATAATAATAATAATAATAATAATGTGCTATTTATTCATTTACAAGACCATACTGAAGCCAATAACAAATTAGAGAGTAATTTGAAATAGAAATTATAGTAACTGTTTATATTCAGAAAAATATACCTTTCATGTGTAATGAATAATAACTTAATTAAAATGCTTTTTGCTGTTCATACCTAAGTTAACGATTTACAAATTTGTATCACTCAAAGCTTTCAAAATTGTCAACATGTATCTATTTTCGTTTTGGAAAATGCTGTTCAGGAGCCATATTTAGGATGCTTTTTTCACAATAAGAAACGTGTACATGTACATATTTTGGACAAGTATTGATCCAGAATTGAATTGCATAGTATAGTATTGGATTGTTAGAGCAAAAGACAGGTCATACCATTTCAAATCAGATTAGTTAACCTTTTCACCACCAGACTTTCTTGTCCAAATATTTCTGCACTTTTTTCTTGTATTCTGTAATATATCTGGAAATGAACCCCAATTTTGGAGCCAACAGACAAAATTTGAGTCAATTTTCAGTTTTCGCTCAAAAAATTTGTCAATTTTTGTCCCAATCTTCTGAAGGACAATGCAGACTATAAACGAGACTATTTTGTGAATTTGTGATGAAGGACAGGGAACTGCTGGTGAAAAGGTTAAGAGAGTTGAAATCCTTGAATTATCTGATTGATGGTTGAGTTGTTTCTTAATACTGTGAATCATGGCCTGTTTGTTTTGTTTGAATTGATTGTTATTCTATGTATTACATTATCTCAAACATATTTATTCTGCAAAGTAGACAGTATCAATGATATCTCTATGGGATGGTGCAATTTATATGGCATGTAACAATTCAGTGACAAAAAGTATTATTTTATTAACAATTTCACTAACATATTCTAATTGTTACTGTTATTTATGTTTTTAGTTTGTATTTTTGTACGTTATTATTATTATTCTCTTTTGTTTAAAAGTATATGTTGTGAGTTGCTACTCATATTATAGCCAGCAATAAGCTACAATAAATATAATATGCCATACATATGAAGCCGTTCAGAGTTATTAATTTGGAACAAAGCAATTGTGGGCGTATAGTGTGAACATGTTTAAGTGTTGTCGCTTGTGATGACTATCCAGTTTCCAAAGTATACAGTCTTCCGTTATTCATTATATACATCTTGTATGATTTTAAAATTTGAACTTTAACCTCATTAATTGAAAATGATGTACCTATAATTTGATTGAATCTTTCCTTCCTCTGCCTCATATGAAATACAAAATATGGCTATGAACAATTCTAGAAAGTTTCAAGACTGTACCCATGAACATTTTACCATTATGCTTGCACTTTGACTAAAAGAGAAAAATGCTCTAAAAGGGGGTGTTGTGGACAAGGAGAGGTGGTTGCACGAAGATTAGACAAATTAGAGGTAATTAGGTGAGAACATCCAGATGGAGAGGAAGACGTATGAGGAGAAAAATGTTGAAAGAGATGTGGATAGATGAATCGGTAATGTGAGTATTATCGCCAGGATCACTGTAAAAACAGCCAGGCTGTCATAAAAAGAAAAAAGCATACTCGTTCTACCATTCTTCCATCCTTTGTTAAATCAAAGACACTAGACACTCTAGTGTCTTTGGTTAAATGGGCTTTAGGTTTTTGTAGACAGCTGACAATAGGAGACAAGGTTTTCCACCCAACACCTTTACTGTGGGATTAGTACGAGTCTAAACAATGGAAGATCACGGTAACATCCAATTGACACTATGTACTAGTACTGGCCAGTGAGTGTTACAGATTGCGTGGATGAGAAAAAAAAACAGAAAGCAAATGTGGTAAAAGAGGATTATGCACTGTGTTTCAAAGTAAAAACAATGCGTTCATTAAATTTATTGTTACAGTACTTGTGGTTTAGTATTTATATATATAAAAACGTATGTAGTACAAGTTCAAGAGGGGTAATAGATATCCATGGAAGCGTTGCCAAACACAGACTAGGTCGGCTCGTGGGTACTTTCCGTGGAACGTTTTTCACGAGATATCCGTGAATGTGAATGAACAGCAATGAAAAATCTGTCGAAAATATCCGAAGTAAGCGCAGAAAAACAAAATAATTTCCTGAATAAGGGAGATCATGATCATGATAGTTTCAAACTCGTAACGAATATTAGAATATTCAAATATACCTATGGCAGAGACCGATTAAGCGCCCCCAGCCGATGTTCGGAGAATGTCTAAGCAGTAGAAGCGACTGACTGTTCATCTCTCGTGGTGATCTTACATTAACTCTGACCTATGTAACATATACCCTATTTGCACT